CATGTTTTACCAAAGTTGTGTGGCCCAAATCCGAAGAGTTCTTTGAAAATAGTTGTTGATACGAGCAAAGGAGGTCTTTAAGTTTATCTCGTTCTTCTGGGGGTAAATGAATGCTTGATCTTTCAATCAGGTCTTTAAGGTGCTCAGGAACTTGTTGGGATTTTGTTTCCGAGGGATTTGTCTCCTTCTTTGAAATACTTTGAACTTTGTTAAAAGTGAAGATATCATCAGTTTCTACATTCTCACATGTAGCAGCAATGGTGCCTTTATAAAGCTTACAGGGTTGATCGAATAAGTTGATAACTCGTAATGGTACTATGTCTTTGCTGACATTTATAAGTGACTTGGCAACTAGAAGTCCTTTTCGTTCAATAAATTTTTGTGCGCCCTCAATGAAAGCGGAGTGTCCTGGTACATAACCATCTGCTGTGGTACCAGGTACAATCATTTCACTTCTAGGGGGAATTTCAATATCTTCTGAAATCGCAACTTTACAGCAAGTTGACAAAGCATTGTTTGCAAATCTATGGCAGGGTACTTCTTCACCCTCCAATCCTATGTTCAAAATTTCTTTGGCTAAGTTGACATTACAATTGTGCTTGACCAGGAAATCTAATCCCAAAATTCCATCATTGTCAATGTTTGCGATCAGTACATTGTGATCATAGCACGTAGAACCAATCGACAGAGTAACTTTGCTCTGTCCATGAAATGGAGTACTTTCTCCTGTTGCTGTTACTAGACTGGTGTTGGCTGGTCTAATATCTGGTTTCAAAGAATTATCTAATCTGTTGATAAATTTTTCACTCAACAAGGTGACATTTGCACCTGTGTCAACAAGCATGGCGATATCTTCATTTTGTACCTTCACTTTAACAAATAATCCCTCATTCTTTGACCAAGATTCATTAATGACGATGGTGTTGGGCCATTTTACATCTGGGGTCGACCTCTGGCCCTCGAGTCCGACGCTCTTCCGTTTCCCTGATAACTGCTGTTCTGTGCTGAAGTTCCATTCTGATTGTTGTTTCTTGGGGGTGTTCGATTTGCATTCTTTTGTTGTCTCTGGTAGTTTTCTGGCTCTCTTCTATGTTGGTTCATGGGTTGATAAGATTGATTGTTGTAATATCCTCCCCAAGCCCTATTTTGAAAATTAGAATCTCTTGGTCTATTTTGTTGATAGTATCTATGTGGAGGAGTTGACCTCAAACTGTTTACAACCTGTTTAAGATCTTGACATACTGATTTCAGTTCACTCCTCACACTGGAGAATTCATCCTTTATTGTTTTGCATATATCATCTGGTGACTGTTTTGTATTTCTGGAGGAATCAGTACTGCTACGTAAATCTGTTTCTTTCTGTAGGGTTCTGACGAGGCGCCCTCTCTGTTTGTCTGCTAATCTAAAAGTTTCCAAGCGGATTGCTTGTGACTCTGCTTCACCGATGTTTTTAGGATGAGCTTCTCTTATTCTTAGTCTCATGTCTATCTCAGGCAAAGCGTCTACAAAATGATCAATTGCCAATATATCTGTGATATCAGCTGGAGCGTTGGGGTATGCTTGCCTGGTCAATTTTCTTATAGCTTGTGCTAGCTCTGGTATGGATTCATCCTTTCCTCTGATTCGAGTTTGCAGTCTGGCGCGGAAAATCTCGGCTCTTTGCTCTGAACCATATCTAGTATTTAGAGAGCGTACTATGCTTTTGTAATCTCGTCGTTCTATTTGACTGAGTTCACTTAAAATGGAACGTGCAGGGCCTTTTAAGCATCCTGCTAAGTGAAGAGATTTGCTTGTGTAGTCCCACCCATTTATTTCAGAAATTATTTCAAATTGGGTAAGGTACTCTTCAAGATCTTCACTACCATCATAAAGTTGTGGTTTTGTATGAGTTGTTGCCCTTTGATTGTGAATTGAAGAATGAGAGGGATGCAATATGTCCCTATTTTCCCTGTTTGTTTCAGGTGATGGTAGTGTAGGAGTTGTCTCCCTTTGATTGCAAACTCTTGGTTGAATATAAGATGAACCCTCAATTTGCCCAAATGTGTCAGGTGATTGTGTCAGAGTTCTCCCCCTTGTATTGTGTGGAGATGAGTCATGGGGATGTGATGTTTGATTAGAACTCTGTACATTTGGTACAATTGTTTCAGTTTGTGGTGACTTGGTCATTATGGTGTTGGTTTGGCAGCTATGATTTGTAGAAGTCAGTGTTTTGTTTGTTTGCCTAACTTCATATGATTTGGTGTTGTGATTGCTCAGGTGTTGATTCTCAATTTGTGTAAGTCTATTTTTCAAGCATAACAGTTGATTTTCTAAGTCTGAACGCAGATCTGCTACATCTCTACCTAACCTATGCTGCATATCATAACAGATTTCTGTAGTTTCTGAACAAGCATTTCTAATTTCAAGTTTTAAGCTCTGCTTTAAAGATAGTAACTCTTGGAGGATGGTGGAGTTACCTCCCTTCTGAGCAGGACCATCACCTTCTGCATCATATGCACCTTGGATGTTTTGAGATACATTTGGGGATGTGTATAATTCTCTATCAACATACAATGGATGCTGAGATGAATGATGTCTAGGATTAAATATCACCTCTTCACTAGAATCTATTGTAGGTGCTGAGACAGTACCTTCTAGAGTTGATGTACCTTCTATGCTTGATGTAGACATCTTGTCAAACTACTTAATTTCACAAGTACAGAATAACTGAGGGCCCCACGTTGGGCGCCAATTGTAACGCATACACCTGCTGAAACCTGTAGTATTATAATGACCCACTATTTTATGAGTAAAGGTTGCAGACGTTTCAAAGTTTGTGAGCCCTCCTGTACCTGTCAGAAATCAAGTAATGACCAAGATGATTAAAAATATCTATGAATTTATTAAGTTAAAAAGCACAAAGTCAAACGCGCTCTTTAATGTAGTTCAGGTCTCTAGATGTTGATATTTTCTCGGGGTGATGCCTGGCTTTCATAAGAAGGTGTAGAAGTTCTGAGAAGGTGATAATCTCTATTGATAAGTAGAAGGTACACTTGGTACAGAGAAGGTGTAGAAGGTGACCTATCAACTGAAGGTGTACACAACTATGGTACCTAACCAAGGTACATATAGTGTAATACATGTAATAATATATAGGCTATATAATTGCAGTTATAATTCTAGTAGAAGTTGATAAAAGGTGATGGAAGGTGTTGAACTCTCTCTAGTTGCACCTTCTAGGGAAGGTGAGTAGGGATGCTGAATATGATACAGAAGGTGGTGATGGTGTTCCTACTAAACATCAATAGATCATGAATGGAATGTATGTTCAAATCTATGTAACTAATAGAGAAGGTGCAAAATATTCACCTTCGGAGCCGGATGGTCTGGCTGGAAAAGCTGCTGCTGGCTCATTTTGATGACCGAAGTGATGATTTCAGGTCGGGATCGGCCTTATATAGTGTTTATCACGTGACCCTTCATTATTATTCATGAAGGAACATGGCCGTCTGCGAATGAAAACATTGCTGAATTCTGCCTAGAGATTACGACTGATGCGGCTTATACAAAGTATTTAACGATGTCTTAACATTCATACGTGAGTAATTAAATCATGTAGATTCTGTTTATTATGTCTATAAATTATGGTAAATGGTATTTAAAGCTGAATCATCTCTCCGAGGTGACGATGTGCTGAGCACGTGTTGACATAATTGTAGCTGGCTGTCAGCTGGGTGATTACGCTTAGTAATTCTATATAACACAAGTTGCTGATAGACAAAGTTGATAAATAATTGTCTCTGCACCTCTAACTAATTGTTGAATCATCTTGAGGTTGTATTTCTTTCTGGATACAAGAATTATCCAATCCTTGTATACATTCACTGTAGTACAGTACAGCACTAAAGTAGACATCTACACAGACGACGTTAAATAATTTATGTATCAGGAATAATCCTTTAAATATTTGCAATAAATATTGTAACAACATCAACAATAAATAAATAATTATATATACACAGTAACATTAATTATAAATAAATAAATAGATAGATAAATACTAGGCCACTAATAATATAAATAGATAAATAAATAAGTAAATACTGTGCCACCACAGGTCCATAACAATACTAATCTACAGTATACCGCCAATGTACCACAGTACGTATACACCTCCAAGGTATGTAAAGACTGTATTACTACTGATACTCATACTTGTAAACCTCCACAGTATATTGTAATGAATGTATAACTACTGATACTCATACTTGTAAACCTCCACAGTATATTGTAATAACTGTATAACTACTGATACTCATACTTGTAAACCTCCACAGTATATTGTAATGACTTTATAACTACTGAAACTCATACTTGTAAACCTCCACAGTATATTGTATAGACTTGTAAACCTCTACAGTATATTGTAATGACTGTATAACTACTGATACTCATACTTGTAAACCTCTACAGTATATTGTAATGACTGTATAACTACTGATACTCATACCTGTACACCTCCACAGTATATTGTAATGACTGTATAACTATTGATACTCATACTTGTAAACCTCCACAGTATATTGTAATGACTATATAACTACTGATACTCATACTATTAAACCTCCACAGTATATTGTATAGACTTGTAAACCTCCACAGTATATTGTAATGACTGTATATAACTACTGATACTCATACTATTAAACCTCCACAGTATATTGTAATGACTGTATAACTATTGATACTCATACTTGTAAACCTCCACAGTATATTGTAATGACTGTGTATAACTACTGATACTCATACTTGTACACCTCCACAGTATATTGTAATGACTGTATAACTACTGATACTCATACTTGTAAACCTCCACAATATATTGTAATGACTGTATAACTACTGATACTCATACATGTAAACCTCCACAGTATATTGTAATGACTATATAACTACTGATACTCATACTTGTAAACCTCCACAGTATATTGTAATGACTGTATAACTATTGATACTCATACCTGTACACCTCCACAGTAGAGCTGGTTATCATTGTAGTTGGGGGGATTTCTATATCCGTAGCGCCACATACTGGACCTGCTGGGAGGATCTATAAGACGACCGTGTCCCTCCACCAGCCCCTTCAGAGAACTCATCAGAATGGTGACCAATTTGATTCCAATAACCATGTCCATCCTAAATCTGATCTAAAATGAAGATTGTCAAGCATAAAATCTGTGCTTATATGAAAAAACAAGTGTTACAAAAGCCAGATTACAAGCAATGCCTACCATTCTACACTGATTGCTGTCTTTACATCACTTAAACAACCAGATTAATGTCTCATCATTTCCTACAAATTGTGATGTATATATTTCCATGACAGTACCTTTATACATTTTGCATTCTCATTCAATTCAGAATGCTTGCTGAGGGAAATAACTCATGAGTTTCTACTTGAAACACTTGAGTACATAATTTGACATATTAATGAACAAGTATAAATATAGACTTCCTGTATTCCTTGAACATCTTGAAGTGCTACACAAATTGCCAGATACATGAATTAATATGTACTTTATATTATACTTCCTCAAAGGAGTTAGCTAATGATTGCAAATGGTACTCCTATTCAAAGTGATCAAACTATTTCATGAAATACTGGTAATGAAGCCCGAAGGGTATGTTAAATACACGTAAAGTTAATAAACAGAAATTCAATCTACCTACAAATCTCCAAATACTGTAGATGTACATCTTTTTCACTGTTAATTATCACTGATAAAAGATGTTTTCACCATAGTGTTTATAACCATTCTTTGAATGAATAAATGAATATATGAAAAAATATTAAAATTAAGGAACACTTTTTATTTTTTACCAAAAAAGGGGAAACATTTTTTCCCTTTATTTAGTAACCATAAAATTGTAATTCCCATGCACAATTGAAACAGTTCTTAACTATAGAAACTTGCATTAAATTGCAATTTGTTTTTAATTCTTTACCTTTAGGTTTGTAGAAATTAATTAATTCAAGGTTTGAAGGAACTTAAAATAGCCTGCAATTAACACATTAAGACAGATCTAGAAATGTAAAATAAATTAATCTCCTGGTATATCTGCTGGTGTGAGTAACATTTATTATAAAAAGACATTTTTTTTTTTTAAAGGAAACACTGTTTAACACTTTTAATCTCCATTTGTGAATGATTAATACTCACTCTTTTAAAATTTGAAACACAGAGAGGATCGATGTACCTATCCCAAATGATTCACTCTGTGGTTTACTCATCTTCAATAATTACACCTACTGCGCATTATTTGTTATTGGTTAAAAGCTGTAGTGGTTCAAAAAGGGAAATAAAAACATAAACAGCAATTACTGTATAAATGGATGTCATTAATAGTAGCTTAATTACAAACAGAATAAGATTTTAAAGGATACGGAATAAATAGCTTTTTACAAGAAGATAACTGACAAACACAATAACCATGCATACACACACACCCTCACACACATAAATTTAGTCAAATATGGACAGATCATTTTTTTGTTGCTATTGTAAGACATATTAAATATATATCAATTAAGCATAAATTTTACCAAAGCTTTCGTGTAATAAAAGAGCTGCCCAATTTATGGCTAACCTGAGACAAAGACTCAAGCACTATAAGTTTTTCTGATTAAGATTTCTCCATTTTCTGTCCATCTGGTGTCTGATGTCTCATTATTTAAGTCTTTACACATTTTTGACTTCTTCTCCTGTGACCTTGTTACAAAGCACCCTTGGATGAAGAAGATTCAAGTTCATTGATGAAATGAAAAGCCATACATGTATGGGTATTTTCAAATGAACATAATTAATTTAAAGAAATAGTTAAAACTAGAAAGTCATTGCGAGCAATGAGAGGTCTTCCGTCCGATTTTGAAAGTAAAAACGTAAATTCAAGCTGAAAGGTGATAAAAGAAATTCAGACACTCTGGAGATTTAACCCTGGTTGTCAGGGTGAAAATCCAACGTGCTAATCATTAACCATTCACTTTTTTGCATCACTTCCTGTCACGACCGGAAGTAACGGCGATACAAGATTTCCTCGCGATTCAAATAAACTGATGACTGACTATCAGTTCTGAAAGTTTTAGACTTCAGTCATTTACTGTTGCCGAGCAATATTGTGAGAACAAATTCTAATTCTGAGGACAGGTAAACACGCGACCGGAAGTGAATTTTATAAAAAATCTCTGACGTTTCTCTGTACATTTGCAGTATCTACAAAATGCATAAAAACATTTCAAGTACTTTATCGATAAGCAATATTTATGAGAAGGTTAAATATCGAAGTAACGTAGTTTATCACCTAAAACCAGATGTTGACGTTTTTGTTTCCGGTGCAATCTAACATGTTTCAAAACAGCGAAAGAGATGCAATAAAGTGATGCAAACTTTAATTTAAAAAAGAAAAATTAAAATTTTTGATTTCTTTGAACACTTCCTGTGACGACCAGAAGTTACGACAGACGCGTTTAACCAAAATGGTTTTGCCTACTCCTCAAGGTCTGCTACTCATAAGAATTTGGTGTTTTAATCTTTTACCTGTTTTTGAGATCTCGCTCAGACAATTTTTCATTTTGAGGACAGAAAAACACGCGACCGGAAGTGAATTTTTGAAAGATATTTAAGGTTACTCTAGACCTTTGCAGTCTGAATAACATATTTAAAATTCATTTCAAATACGTTATCTATAAAGAATATTTGTAGGAAAATAAAATACTCAAATTTTGTAGTTTTTCTCTTATAACCGGAAGTTGTCGTTTTTGTTTCCGGTGGGACCAACATCTTTCGAATCTGCAAAAAAGATGCAATAAAGTGATGCAATTTTTAAATAAAAAAAGAAAAGTTGAAATTTTCGATTTCTTTGATCACTTCCTGTGACGACCGGAAGTGACGGCTGACGCTCTGAACCCAAGTGGTTTTTGCTACATCTTAAGGTCTGTTGCTCATATAAGTCTGGTGTCTTAATCTCTTACCGTTTCCTTGATCTTGCTCAGACAACTTCTGATTTTGAGGACAGAAAAACACGCGACCGGAAGTGAATTTTTGAAAGATATTTGAGGTTACTCTAGACATTTGCTGTCTGAATAACATATTTAAAATTCATTCCAAATACTTTATCTACAATAGATATTAATGGGAAAGAAAAATACTCAAATTATGTAGTTTTTCTCTTATAACCGGAAGTTGACATATTTGTTTCCGGTGGGACCAACATATTTCAAAACTACAAAATAGATGCAATAAAGTGATGTAAGAATTGATTTAAAAAAGGAAAGTTGAAATTTAACGATTTCTTTGATCACTTCCGTAAGCGACCGGAAGTGCCGACGACAGACGAAAAGGTGCCCTCTCCAATCTAAAAATCATGTTCTATCATCTCTAACAAGTCTCCAGTTAATATCTTAAGCCATTCTTGAGAACACTCGCGGACAAAATTGCATTTTAAAATCAGAAAATTGTCCATAACTTGGCACTGGAACCGAGTTTACCAAAAAACGGAATTAAAAATTCATATAAGGACCTTTTATCCCTGAAAATTTCAAGGAAATTCATTGAATAGTTTTCGAGAAATCGCGTGCACAAAATTTTGTCTAAAAAAAAAAAGAATAATAATGATAATAATAATAAGAAACAATAGAATCACTATAAGGTCTTCCGTGGAGACAGAAGACCTTAATTAGATGGAGTCATTTAAAAATCTTCTTAAGATATTCCATCCCTAATATCCTCGGATTCAATAAATTTGAATACATAACAAATGTGTATGGGTGGAATACTCAGTATATTTAGACATGATTCCAATTTATTGCTATTAGCATGTAAGAATGGAACGTGTCCTAATTTATGACCTTGACCTTTGTTGAACAGTTATCTCCCTCTTATTTTAAGTAATAAAAATCAATTTTAAAAAATCTATACGGTAAAAAAATTGTTTTCAATTGTCATTCTATTTCTAATGATTTAATGCATCTTTCCACTACAGTATTTATTGATATTCTTATTATTTGAATTTTTATTTCAAAATAAATCGCTTGTCTCCATAGACTTCAATGCAATTTCTGTTAATTAATTACTGATTAGTTAATTACATTTTTGAAACTTTCTCTTGGTAAATCCTTTTCTACTGTAAAATGCTTTGAATTATTATCAGAGTATTATATACGTAATGGATATTTAAGGATAGAGAATTAGGTCCTATTAGGGATGGAAAACTTTAATATCAAATATACCAACTGGCTAGAGAAGATAAAATCTATCAGTATGAATGTGGGGCTAAAATCATTTTACTTAGGAAGGGTCTCAATATGGCAATTTATTTTAGGGACAGAAAATATTTCAAAAATCTGATGAAGAACAGCAGAACCAAGGGTATATATACAAGTGAGCAAACTTATAATGGCCAGCCCATGGGCCTCTTGATAGCTAGTGACTATAGCACAGGATGGTTTCTGAACCCTTCTTTTTTTCATAATATAAACAGACAATGAAAATTATAGTAACATGACTTTGCATGACTAGCATTATTAAGTATATGTGCGTGTAAAATCTATTTATAAACATGCATGCATTGATATTGAACATTGTTTGTCATATAATATCATATCAAACATCTTTTTTTTTTCTTGTGTCAAATAAAAAAAAAGAGAGAGAGAAATCATAAATAACTTACATTTGATATATTTTTGCTCCAGATTATGTTTATTTTCTGGACATCTTAACTTTGAATAAAAATCACGGAAGAAAATCATCTCAGAAACCACATACTTCAGATATAATTAATTTCCTTTGTGTTATATATATCACATTCTGCTCTCATAGTAATTTTATCAGAATGAAGTGAAATTTTGCAGTCATTAATCTTATAGGACTGCTTAATATTCATTCCACACAGACTTCTGTTGTAAATCTACGGTGAGAGAGAACAGGTCCTATCCTGTGACATAACAGTATGTAGACTAAAGGTGTATAAGAGCAGCCTTATAATACCGACAACTTGTCACAAGTGGGGAGCGTCGTGGACCAAAATACAAACAAATTGGCATAAAAACTTCCCAACTCTATGAAGGGCTTGTCCTAGTATCTGCTAATTAGCAATGAATATTAACTTGTAATAATGTATGAGGATGTGTTTTACCATCCATGACGCTTATTAGCACCCTGAGGTCATGTCGTTTAATTGATTAAGTATGCATGAGTCTGCATGCTAAATGTTTCTTTATTCTATTAACTAAAAGCAATATATTTATACACACATAGAATAACTTCTTTCAAATCAAATCCAGTGGGGAGCAAAGGTGAAAAAAAGTGTTGAATAAGAATATAGTGTAAATCTTGAATTAAATCAAAACTGGAAATATTTCTCTGCTCAGACATAAATTGATGGTGTTTAACAATTTGTGGCTTATTACTAGGTAATAATTTTCAAATATTTAGTTTTAGATACAGGTATCATTATTATAATTTTTACAATGTCCTGTTGGCTTTTTTTTTCATACTGTTAAAAATGACTGTATAAATTGACTTAAGTTAAATACCAGTAACTTTTACTTGTGTGAACCTCCTGTAAATCTGTTAACCTTCCTTGTTACACCCTTGGTCAGACAACAGCATCTCTGTAAAAATAATAATAATAATAATAATAATAATAATAATAATAATAATGAAATAAGAATTTTTTTAAAAATCATATATTTTTTAACTTTATCTTTTTACCAGAATTTCAGAATTTAAAATTACCTAATTAAAAAAATAAACAAATCATTACAAGAACATGTAATTCACAATTATATACATTTACAAATTTTCCTTACATTTTCTCCATTATATATATATATATATATATATATATATATATATATATATATATATATATATATATATATATATATATATATATATATATTGTTAAACATTTCTTTTCTGGACCTGAAAAAACTTACTGTATACTGTCAAACACTTACTGGAAGATCTGATCATAATTGCTACATAAGTTTTTATTTTTTACTTCCTCAAATGTTGAGAAATACCAGAATTTTTTATCAGAATGTCGCAATTGGGACTGTGTATATACCACATACACTGCAAGAGGTCAACGCTATGACAATCCATCATCATATGTCAAAGCCAACATTTTAATAGCTAACATGGATAATTACTCATCATATTCAGTGTGAATATTCCATACCGATACATGTATTTATCATAAAGGGTTAAACTAATTTGACAATATTTCAGCTATATTCCAGCAGTGGAAAGGAGAGACTGTACGTGGGAGGACCCTATGGCAGCCCAAGTCTTATTTGATCCCAACAGAGACAAATGGGATGTGATTGCAAATCATAAATGAATTAAAGTAATTGCAAATAAAATTAGTTTTAATACTAGATTTTTCTACTTTTTTGTCTCTTAAACATTTGAATGAAAAAAATTATTTTTGACATCACAAAGGATGTACCAACGCATAAATTTATTCTTTAGACATAATGAAATTCAAAAGTTCTTTTACCTTTAAAAAACTGGTACTGTTTAGGGTGCAAAATTTCAGAATGGAATGAGGAAAATCTAACGATTCAAATCTTTGCTGAGAGCAATTTTAAATGAATGCAGAATATAAAGCATAGACACTAGACACAGTTTCATTGAGAGATTAAGGACACAAAAAAAACAACCAAAAAACAAGAGCCCAATGGGCCACAAAACTCACTGAGTGACTTTGGCCCTACTGGTCTTCACCAGATTTCCCTTTGTAATACTCATTGTGGCCCACACTGCACCAGGGGGTCTTGATTTGAACAATTTAGAATCTACACTACCCCAAGAAGCTTCTACATAAGCTTCAGTTTTTCTAACTCAGAGGTTCTTGAGAAAAAGATTTTAAAAAAATTTTTTCCTGTATGTTTCAATGTAAAACTTGGATTCCCTATTGTGGCCCCACCCTACCCCTGGGGACCATGGTTTGAACAAGTTAGAATTGACACTACCCCAGAATGCTTTCATATAAGTTTCAGCTTTTATGGCCCAGTGCTTCTAGAGGAGATTTTTTAATGACCCCACCCTATTTTTGTCTTTTCTTATCTCCCCTTTACCCTTCATTTTATCAATTTAAATTCCCCTTCTCCCAAGGATGCTTTGTACCAGCTTTGGTTAGAATTGACCCAGTGGTTCTTGAAAAGAAGATGAAAATGTGAGAATTTACAGACGGATGGATGACGAACAACAGCTAGGTGATCAGAAAAGCTCACTTAAGCTTTCAGCTCAGGTGAACTAAAAACAAAAGGACCAATTGGGACTTAACGGTTACCTGAGTATTAGAGTTTGTCATGCTATGACCAATTTGGACTCACTTAAACTGGCTTAGATTTATATCACATACATTCAATAGTTTGATGAAAACTCTTTCATCAATTTCATATTTACATTGTATGCAGCTTGCCCTCATAAATTCTTAAGAAAATGAAATATTAGGAAAATTGTATAATATATTTCAATATATGACAACAACAACAACCCCCAACATTCAAACAATGTTTAAAGATATTTTTCCCATTCCTAATTTGATCCCTAATTAATTCCCCCCCCCCCCCCCCAAAAAAAAAAATGATTGGAATACACTTGAATCTGCATTACTTCAGGATGCTGGTATTAGTGGCATATCATCACCCTGCTGTTTTGGAGAAGAAGTACTTTTATGATTTTCCCTATATCTATGTAAAACTTTGATCACCCACTGTGGCCTCAACCTACCCCAGGGGTCATAATTTGAACAAATTAAAATTTCCACTTTCTGAGGATGCTTCCATATAAATATATTTACATTCCACATTTATTTTGCTTATAAAGTCTGTGGAAAGCAACGGCATTCAAAACACCTAAACACAGACGGGGGGTCAAAAGGTTAAAGTATGCATTTTATTTTATGTCACAAATGTTGAATGCCATGCAAGCAAAAATCAAAATTCACGCTCACATTGAACAGAAGCTGTTGCAATGGCTCTTCCATTAGTTGTAACTTACCACAAGGATAATACAGGGATTTTGAATATATTATATCACATTTGTGGTCAAGGCAAGGTGTAAATAAATGTTAATATAAGCATTGAATAATCATTTTTTAAAGATGTACCGGGTAGTCTCATAACTGCAATGATGTGTGCAAACATTTTAATTTTCATAACGCGCTAAACACACATTACTCAATTTGTTTGCGCACACCATTGCAGTTATGGGACTACATCTTTCAAAAAATAATGACTCAATGCTTAAATGACCAATCATGGGTTTGCTGTTCTTGAGGAGATTTTTCCTTTATATATTCCTATGTAAATTTAAACTTTGATCCTCTTCTGTGGCCCCACCCTGTGGCCATGAATTGTACAAACTTGAATCTACACTCTGTCAGGAAGCTTTCATATAAGTTATTTCAACTTGTTTGGAACAGTGGTTCTTAAGAAGAAAATTTTTAAATGACCCTACCCTATATTTGCCTTTTCTTGATTATATTTTCCCCTTGGGAAGGTGCACTGCCCTTCACTTGAAAAAAAAAACTTGAATCCCCTTTACCAAGGATATTTTGTTGCAAGTTTGATGGAAATTGGTCCAGTTGTTCTTGGAAGTTGAAAATATGTAAAGTTTACACATGAAGCACACCAGCATGACAGAGTGACTCAGGTGACCATGACCGTAAAATGGGATGCATGGATTGGTATCGGTATAAATTTTTGAACTTATTTTGGTTGCATATCAAATCTCCAAAATATCAAGAAATTGACTTTCTATGATATGTAAATTACTTCACTTTTGCCATCACCTTTAAAAACCTATACAATTTTTAATCACTTTATAGAGCATTATTGAGAAACTTTGAAAATTAAATAAACTTAGATTTATTTGCTTTTTTCATGATTTTTTGAAAAAAAGTTTCTGTGTTTGATGGTATAATCTGTCCTTTACAAGGAAATCCTTACAGTCTTTATAAGAATATGAAGGCTTTGTCAACCTGTATGAATTCAAGTCGGAACAAATTTATTTAATTGTCATAAAAGTTTCTAAAATCCTGCAATAGCAAGATAGTACCACAGAATGGTGGCCAAAGGACTTCCTAAATTCTCGGACTTTCATAGCTATTTATAGCCATGTACAGGAATCAACATACGTAATCTTTTTGGATCAAACTGTAAACCACTGGGTCAACATTTTGTTCCATCTAAGATTTTCATCAAGTACCATTTTTGCCAACACAATTACAACTCAGTTATTAAATATTCTTCAAAATTTCTATCTGGCATATGAGTTTTTATATCATTTATGCCTATTACACCCCCCCCCCTCTTTTTTTTAAAAATTAACTTATCCTGTCTAACCTGTTTATCAGCTTTTCTTACACTAAATTCATTGAGAAAAGGTATATATACTTAATTCATAATACATTGTAATGTGAATCTTGCTCCTTCAGATGCATCCTGTCCACCATGTACCGGTACACCTACACCAGAAGCATATTCACATTATCTACACAATAACATATACAATATACCTTTAATGTTCTTTATTTAAATTACAAACATTCAATACCTTCTCTTGAGAGGAAAAATGTAAACAATATATGTGAAAAAGCTCAGTCTAGATAAAATTAGTCAATTAAAATCACATATACATGTATATATACACATGCTCCAGAAATGTACTTTTCACACAACAAAATGCTCACAGTTTGCCTTGAATTGTATGTTGTTGTTTTTTGTTTTTGTTTTTTGATGCTTTAACACATTTAGGACACCTTACATAAATCACACCTAGAGAAACAATTCTTTCACATGCTCATTTCCAGTCCAGCTTTGCTGATAAAATTTATGTGCATTCTCAAAATTGTATGTCTTCAAAGAATCCAAAACACTGTGGAATTTTTGTTGTAACTACTATGACATGGTGACGATAAGGCAGTCTTCATTTTGTCCAGCTGACTTTGGGAATATCAAAATGTTCTGTTAGGTTGTCCAGCTGTCCATTAAATTCCTACAAGAGACAGGATTCAAGATCCAAGTTGTTGCAAGTTAAATTTCTAATATATTACAAATCTAGTATGCAGACATATTTCAACACTTCTGACAACATACAGATTCTATGCTAAGGCAAAAAAAAAATTAAACATAGTTTCTCCAGCCAAAATTTCAAAATAAAATCTGACAGGCAGTTTTTTTTTAAATTAAAGTAAGTGTTATCTAAGTCTCTTTTTCTTAATAATGATAATGATACCAAGATACCATTGAATCTTTACCATTTTGTACTCCTATAATATTTAATACTCAATAAACTTAAAAATAATTTTGTTTAAACATGTTAACACCTTTTTTTTTTTTTTAAATAAAAAATTGCTGTACAAGAAATATAATGTATAGCAAAAAGGAATTGTCTTTTTAAAGGGGAATGACTCAATTTTCTTTTTTGACTTTAAAAATAGAAAATTGATTTATTCCCCTTTTCAATAAGTTAAAAATTTATCAACACAGAATTTTTTTTTACCTAATATTTAATGTGATTTTTTCCATCATAGAAAGTGCATGTGTACATATTCATTTTTAATTAGCAACCAGCAAAATTAATGACTTTATCCTAAAGTTGGGCATAACATGGACAAAAGAAGTACACACACTTACTCTCAATAATGGCATACATTTAACATACATTTTCAACATTTTTGGTGAATTGGTTATCAAACATTTTTTTGAATACTAAGAAGAGTTAATTAGTATCTGATAATAATTCTAATACCAGGGTCAAAATAGTAAATTGCTCTGAATAGGGGGGGGGGGGGGGGGAAGGGGTGAACAAGAGGCCCAAGGGCATTGAATCCCTCTTCTGATAAACTGTAAAAGTATCACTTCTATTTGAAGCCTCTAAGTATCTTATATATTTAGATAAAGCCTTGAAATTCCAAAGGTAGGTCATCATGACCTACATTTTAGATGAAACACTCTGAGAACCCAAGATGATTCTAAGCCAATTAGTACCTAAGAGTAGGTCATGGTGACCTACTTATCACTTGTCATTCTCTGAGGACCCAAGATACATCAACTAAGTTTGATGATTCTAAACCAATTAATACCTAAAATATTTTTAAAATTAAAACCATAAAATTTCAAAAGTAGGTCACAGTGACCTACTTTTCAGATGACATACTTTAAAGACCCAACATGCATCAACTGACAAAGTTTGATGATTTGAAACCAATTAGTACCTGAAATATTCAATTATAGTCATATAAATTGAAAAGTAGGTTAAGGTGACCTACTTTTCAGTCGACTTTCTCTAAGAACCCAAGACACATCAACTGACAAATTTTGAGGAATCTACGCCAAATAGTACCCTAAATAAATAAATATAGCCATAAAATTTCAAAAATAGGTCACAGTGACCTACTTTTCAGTTGACATTTTTGAGGACCCAAGATGCATCAACTTACGTTTTATGATCATAGCCCTTGAAATGTCCAAATTATGCCTTTAAAACGCTTTGAAATCGAATGCCTGCAAAGTTCAAAAAGTAAGTCACTCTGACCTACTTTTTAATAAATATGTTTTATGGCCCCAAGATGCATTATCTTACAAGATTTAATGATTCTAAACCTCTCAGTATTCAAATTAATGACCTTAATTGTTTTGAAAAAGATTAGCCATAAAATTCAAAAAGAAGGTCAAGGTGACCTACTGTTTAGTTGACGTACTCCGAGGACCCAAGGTACATCAACTGACAAAGTTTGATGATCATAGGCCTTAAATTGTTCAAAACATGCCTCTAAATTATTTTGAAAAAGAATGGCCGCAAAAGTTAAAAAGTAGGTCACCCTGACCTACTTTTTGAGTCAACATGATATGAGGTCCTTAGATGCATCAACTGACAAGATTTGATGATCCTAATCCTTATAGTAAGCAAAATATCAACATTTTAATAAAATGTAATTTTTGGTCAACTTTGAAGTGACCTTGAGACCACGCCCTTTGCCCCAGGGTGATGCCTTGAACAATTTTTAATCAACAACATATCCTCATCCTTTTGTGTAAGTTTGGTGATAATCTGCCAAGTGGTTCTTGAGAAGAAGAATTTTTAGCAACCAGTACTTTCGTTTTTATTTTCCTAATTATTTCCCCTTGTTTAGGGTCACAACCCTAGTTTTAGTATAAATTGGAGCCCTTGGGCCAAGGATACCCTGTGACGAATTTGACAATAATTGGCCGAGGGGTTCTTGAGTTATGGCCCATATTCTAAAAAGTTTACACACACCGCACAAATGGCCATAGCCTCTGGCTCAGAAGAGCTAAAAATTTATCAGTGAAATTAGGCTTTAAAATATCACCGATTTTAAGATACTTATGGAAGTGAATAAATGACCTTCAAATCTTTCCTTATATTTAACTTGTGTAAAAACAAACATGTAAGATTCATAAAGTACAATTTCACAGTTGTAATTTCTTTAGAAATTGTAATAAAATGGAAATTTTTGATTTGTAAATGTCTGCAGACATATGTTCCTTCAATGAAACAACATAAGCTTTGGTATGAAATTGCTAAATATTAACAATTTTAATAATAATGGAAAAATATTTAAAAAAATGTTTTCAATTTTCTATTGATTTTTATACTGAAAAATACCAAGTTTTACCAAAATTGTAGAGTTATCTTTCTTTGTTTTCCCAAACAAGTTATATTTTATTTTTATGAAAATTCATATAAATATGAAAACTCATTCAACAATGTTAACTTTTAAAAATTGACTTGGAGGTAGGTGGCAGAAGAATACTATTGCTCATAGTTCTTTGTAATTGAATGATTAGCAAAATTCATTTTCAGGATTGCCAAGACCATCGCTAAGCATGCCAAAGTTAGATGGTCACTAAAAAATTGGGTATTTGTGTCCACCTTTGTTGCGAAAAAGTAAGCTGACACAAAGCTGAGAGATATTAATAGATGGATGAACTGACAGATATGGTAATTTCTACAGGGCACCTGCATTTTAATGTCAGGCCCTACAGAATTGACATTTATCTACATGTGATGTTAATTCTTCCTGTTCAGAAATTAAATATTCATGTAGTAAATGTTACCATTATTCTTTCCTTGTGAGTCTTGCTGGCCTTTTCAATAATCTCTGCTGCTTTCTACAACATAAGAAATAAATAAATGACAAGAGGCTCAAGGGACTTAACAGTCATCTGAGTACAATACAACACTGTAAAATATCCATACAAGTATAAAACAAGAGGCCCATGGGCCACATCGCTCACCTGAGCACATTGGCTAGGCAAAAGCACAAATCAGTTCAGTATTGAAAAGATTACCTGGGGTGGGGTGGGGTGGGGGGGGGGGGGGCTTGAATTTTAAACTACCTGATGATGCTTCCATGTCAATATAACAAATGGCTTTATTATACTTGAGAAGATTTTAAAATAATTTTCCCATATATTCCTTTGTAAAAAATTGATCCTCCATTGTGGCTCCTCCCTATCCCAGGGGTCATCATTTGAACTTGAATCTACACTACATGAGGATGCTTCCATATCAATATGACTAAACATAGCTTTCCTGTACTTGAGAAGAAATATTTTTTCTATATGTTCTTATGTAAAACTTTCGATCATCCAATGGGCCCCATCCAACCCCTGGGGGTCATCATTTGAACAAAACTGAATCTACACTACCTGAGGATGCTTCCATATCAAAATGACTAATCATGGTTTGCAGTTCTTCAGAAGAAGATATTTCCCTTTATATTTCTACTTAAGACTTTGATCCTCCATTGTGGCCCCATCCTACCCATGGGGGTCATGATTTGAACAAAATAGAATCTACACTACTTGAGGATGCTTCCATATAAATATGATCAATCAGGGCTTTGCTGTTCCTGAGAAGAAGATTTTTAAAATTTTTCCTATACATTTCTATGTAAAACTTTGATCCTCCATTGTGGCCCTACCCTACCCCCGGGGGTCATGATTTGAATAAATTTGAATCTACACTACCTGTGGATGTTTCCATATAAATATGAATATTCTGGGCTTTGCTGTTCCTGAGAAGAAGATTTTTCCTATATATTTCTATGTACAACTTTGATAGTCCATTGCAGCCCTGCCCTACCCCTGTGGTCATGATTTGAACAAATTTAAATCTACACTACCTGAGGACGCTTCCATATAAATATGACTCATCATGGCTTTGCTGTTCTTGAGAAGAAGATTTTTTAAGATTTTTCCTATATATTATTTCTATATAAAACTTTGATCCTCCATTGTGGACCCGCCCTACCCCTGGGGGTCTACACTACCTGAAGACGCTTCCATATAAATATGACTCATCATGACTTTGTTGTTCTTGAGAAGAAGATTTTTAAAGATTTTTCCTATATATTTCTATGTAAAACTTTGATCCTCCATTGTGGTCACGCCCTACCCCCGGGGGTCATGGTTTGTACAAACTTGAATCTACACTACCTGAGGATGCTTCCATATAAATATGACCCATCATGGCTTTGCTGTTCTTGAGAAGAAGATTTTTAAAGATTTTTCCTATATATTTCTATGTAAAACTTTGATCCTCCATTGTGGACCCGCCCTACCCCCGGGGGTCATGATTTTAACAAACTTGAATCTACACTACCAGAAGATGCTTCAATATAAATATTACTCATCATGACTTTGCTGTTCTTGAGAAGAAGATTTTTAAAGATTTTTCCTATATATTATTTCTATATAAAACTTTGATCCTCCATTGTGGACCCGCCCTACCCCTGGGGGTCTACACTACCTGAGGACACTTCCATATAAATATGACTCATCATGACTTTGTTGTTCTTGAGAAGAAGATTTTTAAAGATTTTTCCAATATATTTCTATGTAAAACTTTGATCCTCCATTGTGGTCACGCCCTACCCCCGGGGGTCATGGTTTGTACAAACTTGAATCTACACTACCTGAGGATGCTTCCATATAAATATGACCCATCATGGCTTTGCTGTTCTTGAGAAGAAGATTTTTAAAGATTTTTCCTATATATTTCTATGTAAAACTTTGATCCTCCATTGTGGCCCCGCCCTACCCCTGGGGGTCATGATTTGAACAAACTTGAATCTACACTACCTGAGGACGCTTCCATATAAATATGACTCATCATGACTTTGTTGTTCTTGAGAAGAAGATTTTTAAAGATTTTTCCTATATATTTCTATGTAAAACTTTGATCCTCCATTGTGGTCACGCCCTACCCCCGGGGGTCATGGTTTGTACAAACTTGAATCTACACTACCTGAGGATGCTTCCATATAAATATGACCCATCATGGCTTTGCTGTTCTTGGGAAGAAGATTTTTAAAGATTTTTCCTATATATTTCTATGTAAAACTTTGATCCTCCATTGTGGCCCCGCCCTACCCCCGGGGGTCATGGTTTGAACAAACTTGAATCTTCACTACTTGAGGATGCTTCCACATGAGTTTCATCTTTCCTGGCCCTATGGTTCTTGAGAAGAAGATTTTTAAATGTTGCCATTATTTTTTCACTAATTCCTAATTATCTCCCCTTGAAAGAGGGCATGGCCCTTCATTTGAACAAACTTGAATCCCCTTTACCCAAGGATACTTTGTGGCAAGTTTGGTTGAAATTGGCCCAGTGGTTCTTGAGAAGAAGTCAAAAATGTGAAAAGTTTACAGACAGACAGACAGACGGACAGACAGACAGACGGACAGACAGACAGACGGACAGACAGACGGACGCCGGACAAAATGTGATCAGAAAAGCTCACTTGAGCTTTCAGCTCAGGTGAGCTAATAAAACAAAATAAACTGATAGATAAAGAAGCTATGTTGCCCAAAAGCAAAAGAAATGGGATGATTAGGGATCAGCAAAAGAATATGTCTGAATTTAACAATTGGAAAGAGGCACCCTTGATCATCATAACTAAGTACTTAGTTAGTCTTCTAAATACCAAGGAGCAGAGAAGAAGATTTTCAAAGAATTAATGCATTTTCACTATATCATCAATAGAGTCCAGCCTTAACTCCAGACCCACTGACCCAGGGGCCATGGAATTCACAATTTTGGAAAAGGCATCCTTGTGCGTCATAACCATGCACTTAGTTTCTTTAAATAATACCCAGGAGCAGAGAAGAAGATTTTCAAAGAATTATTTTTTTTTTTTACTATTTTATCAATAGAGCCCTGTCCTAACACCAGAACACCTGACCCAGGGGCCATGAATTTCACAATTTTGGAAGAGGCACTCTTGCCCATCACAAATATGTACTTAGTTAGTATGTTTATCCAGGAGCAGAGGAGAAGATTTTCAAAGAATTAATTTTTTTTTACTATATTATCAACAAAGCCCCACTCTAACACCAGAACCCCTGACCCAGGGGCAGTGAATTTTACAATTTTGGAGAAGGCGCCATTGCTTATCATAACTATGTACTTAGTTTGTTTAATACCCAGAAGAAGAGAGAAAGATTTTCACAGAAATAATGCACTTTCACTATATGATCTATATAGCCCCGCCCTAGCACCAGTACCCCTGACCCCGGGGCCATGAATTTCACAATTTTGTTAGGGACTCAATGCTTTTTAAAATCATCACAACAGTTCAAGTGCTTGATATCCAGGAGTAAAGAAGAAGAATTTTAAAAAATAGCACTGATTTTGATGGTTTTAGCCCCACCCCTCATACCCCAGAGGGGCAGGGACCATGAAATTTGTAAATTTTGTTCAACTACACCAATAGATGCCATATGCTAAAATTGGCTGAAATTGGTTCTGTGGTTTCAGAGAAGAAGCTGAAAATGTTCAAATGTTAATACTTGAGGCACAACGATGGACGAAAGAAGATAGGAATGTCACCTGAGTGACTTAGGTGTCCTAAGAACAAGAGGCCTAGGAGACATATCCCTCACCTGAGCACTTTGGCCAGGAAAAAGCAGAAATCAGTTCAGTATTGAAAAGTTTAAATGAAAAAAGTGGTTGGGGGGATATGATTTGAACAACCTTGAATCTACACTTCCTAAGGATGCTTTTGAATCAATATTGCACATAATGGCTTTGCTGTTCTTCTGATGAAATTTTTTTTATTGAAATATCCTTTAAATTCCTTTGTAGAACTATGTGATCCTCTGTTCTGGCCCCTCTGTTCTCCTGGGGGTCATGATTTGAACAAATTTAAATCTACATTACCTGAGGATACCTTCTATTATTATGACCAATCATTGCTTTGCTGTCCCATGTGAAGAATTTTAAAGATTTTTCCTATGTATTCCTATGTAAAACTTTGATCACCCATTGTGGACCTACCCTTCCCCCGAGGGTTATGATTTGTAAAAACTTCAATCTACACTACCTGAGGATGATATATATAAATATAACTAATCATAGCTTTGCTGTTCTTGAGAAGAAAATTTTTAAAGATTTTCCTTATGTATTCATATGTAAAACTTTGATCATCCCATTGTGGCCCAACACTTGCCCCGGGGGGTCATGATTTGAAGAAACTTGAATCTAAACTACCTGAGGATGCTTCAATATAAATATGACCAATCACGGCTTTGCTGTTCTTGAGAAAAAGATTTTTTTAAAGATTTTTCCTATGTATTCCAATGGAAAAATTCGATCCCCCCCATTGTGGCCCCATCCTACCCCCAGGGATTATGATTTAAACAGATTTGAATCTACACTATCTGAGGATGCTTCCATATAAATATGACAAATCATGGCTTTGCTGTTCTCAAGAAGAAGATTTTTAAAGATTTTCTCTGTGTATGTAAAACTTTGGTCACCCATAGTGGACCCATCCTATTCCTGGGGATCCTGATTTGAAGAAACTTGAATCTAGACTATCTGAGGATGCTTCCATATAAATATGACCATTCAAGGCTTTGCTTTTCTTGAGAAGGAGATTTTTAAAGATTTTTCCTATGTATTCCGATGTAAAACTTTGATCCCCCATTGTGGCCCCACCTTACCCTCAGGGGTCATGAATTGAACAAATTTAAATCTACACTTCCTCACAATGATTCCACATAAGTTTCATATTTTCAAGATTAAAATGTGAAAAGTTTATGATGACAACGATGACAGACAACAGACATATTTCAATCAGAAAAGCTTACTTGCGCCTTCGGCTC